CCAAGGCTTGCCTTCAATTGGCTGCCTTTAATCGTGAACTGTGCCTTCAATATAATAGTGTCTAGTCAAAAATCTCGTACGAAAGTTCGCAGGACTTCCTAAACACCCAATATTTCTTCGTTTGGAATATCTGCTTCGGTACTTTTCTTGCACGCGGCAAGTTGCAAAATTTTTTTAAAGGAGGAATTCACGATTAGAATGAAGGTCGAAGAAAGGGAAACTGACCTAGTTGAGGGACCCACGGACCTCCTGAGGGTGCGAACTGACGCGCAATTCGCATGGAAAAATTTGACCTCGGCGACCTATCATGCCTCAAAGCTGGCGGGTCCGGCGATCTCCGCCCACCGATCATCTGATCACTCGCCGTAGTTCAATACGTGGCGAGTGATTAGATAGCTGAGAGAGCGTAGTGTTGAAGAGGGCACAGCGATGAGAGTCGCATCAATGCTCGAATCAACGGGCAAGGAAGGGGTACCATTTCTCGGGTTCTGGGCCGTTTCTCATGGTTCTTCCTTCTTTCGTGTACCACTCACCATCCCTAGGTTAATTTGAAATGGGTTGCTTTTTCATCGTAAATTCGTCCTTTAAACAGGTCGTGCGAAAAGTTGAAAGGGCCACTGGTTGTTGGCTGTAACTCCACTGTGCGAGCGAATGCCCACCCAATCGCCTCCAACCCGTGTCCTTTCGTGCACCATCGGCCTTCCCGATATAAATCTTCATTTATAACGAGTTTTCAGTCCTCTAAACACGAGAGGGCTGTCGTGGCCGTGAGGACTCAAGAGACGTAGAACTAATGCATCTGCGAAGAAATGAAAGCGTTACATCCTCAGTCAACTGCCATCGACGATGAAATCAGCCCGAATTGAGAACGTGAGTAGGATATGTATTTAGTGAAATAAAATGAAGTGGTGTTTTTAGATTTATTGCTTGCATAAGGCACATATCGTTCGTCTACAGTTTGTTCTGGGGTGTCAAAATATGTATCAAAAATAAGATCATTAAGTAATTAAATAATAAAAATAAAAATGAATAAAAAAAATTAAAACAAATAATAAACGTAGAACATATTAAAACATACAAACCACGAGAGAATCTTAGTGAACAGTAAAAAGTAATCCAATGACTCCTTGACAGCTCTAAAAAAGACCATACTCAGTAGATTCCATGTTCGAATTCTTGAACATGGGCACTCCATTGTACAACATATAGTCCGTTTCGAATATGCCCTCATATTCGTAGTTTTTCCCGCGCCTGGATCAACCCCCCCAACCCCTAACAAGATGTTCTCGGGGTCTATAGTAGACGCATCATGCATGTTCCTCTCAGATGTTGACGAGTGCCTTCTGCGCGGTTAACGCACAGCTCCGAAAATGTTCTAAGCATAGTCTCCATATCGGGCGCCCTGACTCAACGCTGCAGGTTTTTTTTTCAGAAGATTGGAGCTGGTTGCGATTTTTAATTGCCATGGAAATCCCGAGCTGCTTGGGTTAACTTCTCGGTGGTTGCGTTCGAGTTTTTTCCACAACATTTGCGGAACATCCTTACCAAGCGAACATCCTTACCTTCTAGTACAATCCTCATCTCTCAACCTGTGGTCTCCGGAACGGAACATCAGAACACAACCGCTTGATATGAAACTGTTCCCGATAGCGAAAACACTGCTTCCCTGATGTTTACTTTTTTATACCCAAGTAAGGGGAAAAATGTGCCCGAAATACCTCGCTCCTCAGTCCTTTCGGCCCTTTCACTTCGATTCACATTTCGTGGCAATGAGGTACTCATTGAGATTTGTGTTAGTTTCTTGTGCCGTACGAGGTTTTTAGGTGGAACATTTATTAGTTCGGCCTAACGTTTCGACAAAATCGTCGTCTTCTGAGGCCCAAGGGTTCCACCGTTCACGCGGGAGTCCCGCTACCACATATAGACGCTGCTCAGTAAAAAATAAATGAGATTCCGCATTATAAATCTTGGCAATCGAAATCTGCCTGAAGCACAGGTGTTGGCCCTACTATCTCTCAAAATATTAATCAATGACAGAGCCGCAGCACATTCATTTTATGACATCGCGGGTGCTGACAATACATGTGGCTGGCCCCACGTCATTGTTCGAGAAGTGCGCGCGTCTGGGTCAGTTAAATCGCCTCAAATGCCACATTATTTCCACAGACTGGATAGTACCAGTTGTCGGTGGCACATTCGACACATCCACGCGCATTTAGTCGCTTGAAAAATTGAGTGCTTGATTCACTGTTGGATCTTTCCCGCGGAATAATATCGTGGCGTCGGTGCTCCCATTAACCTAGGAAAACATACCCTGCGGTATAGAGTACCCCTAGCCTCATGAGCATAGCAAAAAGAACGGAACATAAGTGTTAGTTTCGATAATACTAATCCTACACACAAGACAAAATGATCACTCTTTCCGTGGAAGATTCCTTTAAGGTATCGTTTTCTGTGGTAATGAGGGCGGAGCTTTTTCCGTGGAAGATTCCTTATAACCATTTTCTATCAGACACGAGTTCGAAAAGTTGTGTATTGTGTTTTTTCTCCTTCAACGAATTCATTCAGTTTCGTCACTAAATTAAGCGATGAATTCAATAAAATTCCTGAACAACTTGGAGTACCAAAATGGAAGGTTTTCACAACTGGTCTGTACGAGATTGTTGTTGCTAACACAAATGCCGTGCTGAGGTGGACCGTGATATAAATTTCAGGAATCGACGCAATATCGAAGCAGTTTTCACAAGCCTGATCAACCACCTGGTCAGAGATGAACAAGAAAGGTAATTTTCGAGATAATGTCGTGCTCACCTATTTAGCAAAGGCTGGGGCCAGTTCATACCAAGCTTCAGGCTACGTTTACTTGAAGAAAAGAGCGAGTTGGAGAATCTTGACTGCCATGACGATGTCGTACGAGCCTTTGAAACTATCTGTATTGATATTAGCAAGGTGGGCTCATTCATCTGACAGTTTGAAGAGCTTCTTGTTATAACTTGTAATTTGTAGAGGCGTTTCTTACGAAATCGGAGAGAGTGTGTTCCTGAAAGAAGATTGCAGGAAATTTAGTTCCGCATGTGGTTAGTTGCTTCTCCCAGCCCCGACTACTTTTATGGATCACGGGTTCTGTATCTTCGCTAGAATCCTAGCCTGAAATCTGTGTTTTGAGGAGAGAGTTAAAAAAAGAAACAATAAAACCTCTCGAATCCGACATGTGAAATCAGTCCTTTTCGTGTTTTGCATGTTCCAAACTTCCACATTTGGACATTTCTCCGCACATTCCTGGGATGAATCCGCATACCACTTTTAACCAATAGGAGATCGAAGAGGCAGTTTAGTGTGTTCAAATTAAAACGACCATTTGGCCATTTTTCGGTTTTTCCATGTTCATTTTCTTTCTTTGACACTCTTAGAATTTACATATATTGAATTGGCCCCCGTAGTTCGCACTATTCATCTGCGGACGGTAGCAAACCTTCATTAATTCAGACTTAACGTGTCGAGATTAGCTCAGACCAAAGTCAGTTTAGATAACAGGTTCAGAGCGCTTCTCAACACATTAAGTCTTGTTTAACCTACAGTTAGATCATAACCAAAAAAACCATTTTAATTAGTAGTTAGAGAGTTAACTTGTAAACCTAATTCGTAATTAGGCAGAGAAAAGAAATAGTGTGAGGTCGAGGAGGCGCAGACGCCACGTTGACCGTAATAACTTTAGTGGGGGTCTCAGGGTGTTTGTTTTGGGCTAAAAACAAACAGTCGTGGTTGGTTATCTAGGTGGGAGCGGCGCGGTGGGGTGGGTGGGTGTGTGTTTGGGTTAGGGCTTGCCGAGTGTTTTGTGAATGCTGGGGTATGGACGCGTCGCGAGTCTGAGAGGATACGCGGGTGGGGGGCGTGGTGTGGGTTGCAACGGTTGGTGCCGCATTTTTCCGGTTTTGGGTAGTGTTTATTTATGCGGTGCGTTGCGTGTCAGGTTTGTTGTCAGGGGGGTCGTGGACTGACCCTGGGGGACCTCCTCGCCGTGAAGAGGGTCGGCCAGGCGGCAGACGCCGTGATTGACCCACGAGTAAAAAGTACTCCGAAGGACTTTTTACTGGAGGGTCATACGTGTCAGACGTGGTGACTGCGCCTCTTCAATCCCGTGCTCTTTTTTCTTCTCTGACCAGCTCAACCTGTTAGGAATCAAAGAATGCAGCTGCGATCCATAATCTTCAGGTACTTTTGCAACCTTTTTTTTCTTATTTATTCGTTTCCTGATATTTTGTCGTCTGAAATCTAAAGTAGGAAGCTCTTGCTTGATCTGGGCTGGATCGCACTCTCCATTCTTTATTCTTTGCTTAGAATCTCCGATCGTTACTTCTGATTGCGAGTTAAGGGTACTTTGCTACCGTCCCAGGTGTTTAAAATGCTATTGTAGGAAAAAGCTGAGCTTTCGGAGCCACAGACACGCAAGAGGTCCTTCTTCCAGGAGGTAAGCAAACCAGCCCTTCTGGCGTTTCGGCTGGAACCGTATGCTGAATGTTGGGGAGGTGATGGGGTCCTCAACGGCCGACGGTTTACTTCAACTCGGTTGGATTAAGCGAAGAGAGAGGGGACGGACCCGTCCTCTCTTTAAGGCTTAGTTCTGAGGTAAGCACCAAATTGTGGCGGTTCTAAGGACCGAGTTGAAGTGGTCCGTCCACCGTCGGGGACTCCATCCCCTCCCCAACATTCAGCATACGGTCCCAGCCGAAGCGCCAAAAGGGCTGGTTTGCTTACGTCCCTTTCCAGAAGGCCATCATCAAGCTCTCACGTTTGTAGTTGATTCGACAGCCATGGAAGCAGATGGTGTGTGTAGGTGCCGGATCTGTTGCACCGCAAAAGCTAGGCCAGAGAGTCCCATGAAGGGCTTGGAGACTTTCGCTAGACCTTCTACGAAATTAGTTGACGAGCGCTTGATATCGTGAACTGCAATGTGTTTCCAAGAAATAGTGCCGCAACTCCAGTCTTTGCCCATTTTTACTATTCTGTGGCAACAGTCAGTCGCAATGCTGTTGATAGCTTACAAGTCATGTAAACCAATCAGTTCCAGCAACTTTAAAACTTTCCTCCTAAGTTGCAGTGCTAGAATCGGCGATGTATCCTTGATTTACGCGTTCGAGCCAGTAGCGCTTCTGCGTATGGTCCACGCGAAGAAACTACTTTCTGTCACTGCCAACCATGCTATCAGGTCATATGAGAAACAGCTGAAAGCCAGAATATTCTTTCAATCACTGTGGGCTATTTCAGTTGGAACTTTGTTTGAATATTCAGAGATTTGTTCATAGTTATCACATTTCTGCTCTAGAGCCTTCCCTGAGAAAATCTTTAGATGTTAATTTTTGGGAACTTTGCAGGTGGAAGTATCAATTCGGGCTTTGCGCATCCCACACATCGCACTAATACGCACACCTAGGCCGATGTCAGACTTTGCGAATCGCGCGATTCGCTAGCGTCTGCGGTCGCGTCGCGGCCAGTGAATCACTCAATTGGCTGGTACCGCAACGCGACCGCGGACGCTAGCGAATCGCGCGAATCGCTAGTAGCGAATCGCGCGATTCGCAAAGTCTGACATCGGCCTAAGCCATCTTGTGCTATTGCCACCTGTTCTTTTTGAGCCTCTTGACGCGACTAACAACAGAGAACATTCCAACGTGTTTTACTACAAGAATACTGGGCTATGAACGAAATTTCCGTTCCAGGCGGCACTTACAACTTAGATTAGTCCCGCCATGGGCAAAAGCTTCGTCATAACTCCAGTATTGTTGTGAAACAATCGCAACGCGAACTGCGGCGTTGAATAGCGGTTATGAACGCAACAAGTCAAAATTTCAGTGTATTTTTCAGTACGACTATGCCCTCAAGTACGTGTACGTTTTGAACAACCTGTGCAACAAGTTTAATGACTCGGCGAAGATCATCACGGCAATGAGGACGGTCTGTTCAGAAATGCCCTCTCAATTCAATTGAAGCATTTACATTTGTAAACCCCGTTGGTATTTTTAAAATAAAGATGCGGAAGCTTCGCAGTGGAAAACATAATTGTAATTGTATTTGTTTATTACGTATAACCCCAAGTGTTGAACAAAAAAAACATAATGGTGAAAAAATCGGAAAAAACTGAACAGAGTTGAGAAATGATAGTTTGAGAAAATAGTTTCAATCCATGGAGAAAAAGCTAGGACCATCATGCTAAATACTTTTCTGAGGTCGTTTGGAAGAACTCGATCTGTTAGCACTAGCTCCTAATTTGAGCAGTCTATCCAACTCACACTACATACTATGTCCTATTGACAAAGAAATGGCACCTAACATTCTGCTTTTCTCCTCCTAGCGATATTTTCTTGTAGCCTCCATTACCGAATTCTTGACTCTAAGAAAACTAAACTGAGAGTGTAGTTGCTAAGCTTCCAACCAAGATTGACAATAACTTTATTAGGCCGACGTTTCGGTGCTTTCACCTTCTTCAGAGCCTGGAAAAGTCGAAAGCCATTTAGGAAACTACCCGTCCAAACACTATTTCAACCTACAAGAATCATTCAACAGGGTGTAAACTACTAAAGCGATGTCATGGAGGGAGATGAGAACGAACCTTTAGAGATGCTGACCAGAGAGGTCCACCTGCCACCCCGAGCTGGTAGTAACGCGGCTTAAATAGGTAAAGCCTTCAGGTCATTTGCTTTAGGGACTCTGGGCTGATGTAGA